CATAATTTCATTATCCATTAATATTCATTATTCATGTTTATACAATGAAAAAGGAAGACGGAAGAACTGATGCCTCTGAATGATGGTGTTGATGATGACTATTGACTATACCCTGGCTTCCGGAAGAATGAGTAAAGCTATCTTGAAAGAGGTTCGATCAAGATGCTTCTTAGGAGCCAGGACAGTGAGATTTCATCCTGTCTTTTAGCCTTGTTATCAGTGAGACCAATCACATGAGAAGGATATCATCCGTGGTAAAGTTGAAGTCCAGAATAAGACAATGCTTGATCATGTGTCTTCCTCATAATCCTAGCTATGTTCAATCCCCTGAGTCAATCTATCACATTGAAGGGCTTGATTTTCTTTTTTTTTTTGTTGCCAACTCTCTATTGTACCACTCATGATGTCCCTCTCCAGTAACTTATATTTCCTGATAATATGTCTAAAATATATGAAACAGAATCTTGCCAGCATCACTTCTAAGGAGCATTCTGGTTGTACTTTCTCTGAAACACATTTGCTGTCTTCTGTCAGTCCACAGTACACACTCTAATCTTCACCAGCACTAACAATTCCAAAGAGTCAATTCTTTTTTTTTTTACTGGGAAAAACATATTGGGGGTATAAGGAGGTGAGGTTTGGGGGCAGAAGGGTGAGGATGGGCCAGGATGCAGTTGCAGAGCTGCACAGTTTGGTCGGTGGGGGGAGCAGGTGAAGGAAATGATGAGGGTCCAGTGGGGACCAGATGCTACAGAGGAATGACAAGCATTTTCCAATGGTAATTAAACCAACTGTCTTATTGATTTGGGAATTGGATGCCGACTCTCTGGCTTCTTCATGCTGAACAGGGGGGTAGATGTAAAGGGGGGAAGGGAGGACGCTTTATCTCCTTACTGGTGGTCTTGGGTTAAAGCTGCTTGCCTTCTTGCTCTGTTAGAAGATATTTTCCTGTCATTTTCTCCCCTCTGGACTGCAAAGTGTTTTCCCAGGTGGGTCCAGTGGGGATGGCTGGTTGAACCCAGAGGCTCCATTCTCCTTTGCTTCCTTAGCTGTCAGTTGTATTTCCTTTTTGTCACTGGCGGAGTCAATTCTTTTACGGTCTTCCTTATTCACTGTCTAGCTTTCACATGCATAAGCGGTAACTGAAAAGATCATGACTTGGGTTCTTGTTAGGTGCTGTTGAGTTGAGTCTGACTCACAGCAACTTTATGAACAGCCAGCCTGAACCCTGCTCTATCCTGTGCCATCCTCATCATCTCGGACACATGAGAGCCCGTTGCTCAAGTCATCATGTCAACCTATTTCACTGGAGGTCTTCTTCTCCTCTCTGACCCTCCATCTTTCCAAGCAAGATGTACATCTCCAAGGAATAGCCTTGTCCAAATAGCTACAAGTCCAAAGTACCAAAGATGAAAACTGGGTTAGGAGTACCTTAATCCTCACAGGGCACCTTGGCTTTTTTTTAACACTAAAAGGGTCTTTTGTGACAGATTTGCCCAATGAAATATGTTTGATTCCTTGATTACTGCTTGCACAGGTGGTGAAGGTGAACTCGAGTAAAATGAAATGTGCTGAATTGCTGAAGCATCTGGGATATTTAGCTTCAATATTCTTTCTGTGTGATGAACTCAACTGCCTTTGAAAACCAGCTGAAAGGTCAGCTATGGGTCAATTCTGACTCGACAGTACACAACAACAACAACAACATTCCTACAGAACGGAGCTCCAGTGGCTTAGTGGTAAAGCATTGCACTGGCAACTCAAAGGTACTTGGTTCAAATCCACCAGGTGCTCTGCAGGAGCAAGTCCTGTGCAAATAACTGCCTCTGAAAACCTGCTGGAGGGTCAGCCATGGGTCAGTTCTGACTATATGGTACACAACAACAATTTCAAAAGAAGAGGAAATTTAGTGGGGCAGTGTTTTAAGTACCTGGTTTCTGGCTGCAAGGTCACCTGTTTGAATCCATCAGCTGCTCCTCAGGAGAAGGATGTCCCAATCTGCTCTGTAAAGATTCACAAGCCTGGAACCCCTACGGGACAGCTCTACCGTCTCACAAAGTCAGAATCTACCTGACAGCACCTACCTGTCGTTTGTCCTACAGACATCTTGGTTGCATAGAACTTTTCTATAGCTCTTGGATCAACTACCCCAGGAATGAAACCGAGGGTAGCGCATTTCTTGAGATCTACTGACTCTACCACAGCATAATCCTTTAACCTATTCAACACAGTCTTCCTCCTTCTAAAAACACTTTCTCAGGCATGTGCAACCAATGAATTAATGCCCCAGCTTGTGAGAGCTGTGTGTGATATGTTTATTTACAGCTCTGGGTTTACACTCTCAAACCCATGTAGCTTTCTGCCTGGTCTCCTTGCGAGATACCAAGTTCTTTCAACTTTGATTCACGCTTTTCTCACAAGCAGGCACTGAAGATCCACACGCCACTGGGAATACTGACCAAAGGCTCACCAGCAACGTGCAAGAGGCCAGTAAGATCATTCATCTTTCCTGCCTGGACTGATGGCCGCTTTAACTGGTAGCTGTGGTTCTCATTAAGGGGCTGGCTCCGTGTTTGTTGAACATGGAAAAGCGATCAGGTCTCAAGTATGCCCTTTTGCTCCTTAGATGCCAAAGTGAAACAGACAGCACAGCCCTCTTTGATGTGCTAAGAGCTTAGAGTGGAAGCAATTAAATAAACAAACCAGCACGTTTATGTTTCAACAGCATCAGGGAAAATTCCCGAGTCACTGACAAACCAGTGAAATGTGCGCTGTGACCTGAGGTAAATCCTGTGCACCTGGAGCCTCCTCGGGCCTGTCTTTCATTGTTTTTGTTCAAATATTCAAATATTCCTCTAGGTCGTGTAGCCCTGGTGTGTCCACTTGCTGCAAAGCAGTCACTTGTGCTTGCTGTGAGGCTGAACACTGTGACACTGATGTGTCAAGTGCGTTAATGGTTGGTTACCCAATGCGGAGAGTGTGGGCTGGAGCTCCCCGATTAAAACAAGCTTGGAAGGAGGAGTGGCATCCACTTCCATAATAGCTTGCTTCCGGAAACCCTATGAACCTGGAGAGAGGATGAAAGGCACCCAAGTGTTGAGGACGCTCCTTCATAGGGTCACTACGAGTCACCTGCAACTCGATGGCACTTAACAACAACAACAACATACTGGATCCTGGGCAGCTGCCCTGCGCTGGTCCCCGGGCCCATGCTGGGACACTCTCAGCACAATGATGTGACCGGAGGCCCGTAATCTGCCAGATGTGGGTGGATGCCTGGCATGAAGTGAGTCAGGCTCACCATCTGCAAACACGGCACCAAAACAGCTGCGTTGTAAACTGTCGGCTGCGGTGCATCCTAACAAGAGCCTTTAAAAAGGATTTTGTCTTTGCATGCGCCTCGCATGCAAACACCGGCTCAGAACTGCCTCCGCCAGCTGTTCCAGCGTCAGCTCAGCACCGGGAGTTGGGGCCCAGACAAAGCCCACACCATGACTGAGTTTTTGAAGTGAAGCAATAGCTGCTGCAGAGATCCAGCAGAGGGAAGTTTATAGAGAGGATGTTCTCCATGGACTGAAACAGATTATGATCACTTAAGTCAGCCCCAGGGCTGCGTGTCTGCACGCTCGCTTTACAATCAATCACAAAAGTCACAGCCTGTTCTCTGTAGGCCTGTCACCTGACCTCTCCTGGCTGCCCACTTTAATACAGGCATTCCCCTTTTTATGGCATTTTGCTTTTTAACACATTTATTGCATTTTTTAAAAAACAAATTGAAAGTTTGTGGCAATGCAGCCCTGCGTCAAGGAAACCCTCTGGGGCCATTTTTTGAGCAGCTTACGTACTGTCTGTGCCACATTTTCTCACACTATTTCACTTTCCCCTCCACAGTGCTGTTATATATGTAATAGACTAAAAAAAATCCAAACATCAACAAAAACCAAAGAAAATGATAAAAAATCTTCAAACCACTCCACAGCCGTGTTGTGGATTTCTGACCCACAGAAAACCTGGTCTTCCAGGTTCTAGGTATTTCTGGAAGAGATTGTCCATCATTCTGCTGTGGAGTGGATGCTGGGCTTGAACTGCTAAGCTTTCAGGTACCAACCCCACACCACCAACCAATCAGTCAACTCACTGCCAACTCATTGGCTTATTGGCATCAGAGTCAATCCACAGCCGAGCTGACAGCAGGTTTTAGAGGCCGTAAATCACACAGGAGGAGACTGTCGATCTCTCCTCTGCAGCAGGTTCAAACCACCTGCCTTTGGGATGGCAGTGTAACTCCTTATCCACTAGTCCACTAGAACTCTAGCACATTACCAGGGCTTCTTAACAGACTATAGATAGTAGTGTGCACCTGCGACTTTTACAGGCACTGGGAAACAAAATAATGGCCATGACTCACGTATTGTGACACTGGCTCTCTTGGGGTGTTGGGGAAAGGAGCCTGCAGTATTTAGGGGTCCACCCACACCCACCTAGTCAACACATGGGGTTGTCATGAACAGGGGCTGCCTGGATGAAAGCTCAAAACGCCAGGCGATTGCCCGGGAGTGTGGGCAGTGCAACCAGCCTGCGGTTGGCTGGTGACCTAAAGGTGAGGGGGTGAAACCCACTCAGCTGTTCTGTGTAACAAAGACCAGATAACTGGGTTCTGTGAAGATAGACAACCTGTGGAGCAGTTTATGATAACAGGGGGTTATCACAGGTGAGGAGACTCAGGGTACCCAGCAATCACCCCTTCTCTGCCTTGGTTGTGTGTTTGGCCCTTTAAGCCATCAGTGCCAAGGGTGGTGGGTATCACAGCCCAGGGTCAAGTTTAGTCAGACCCAACATTCCAAGGGAATCTCCCATGTGGGTACCAATTGGACACTTCTCCTGTCAATTCCTCCTCATCTAGTGAGGCCAGAGCCTACTGCGGTCTTCCACTTGCCAGGAGACCCTCATCGACTGGACCCTAATACCTCCCCTCTCCCCAGTCCCTGGTGGGCACCCACCTTCTGCTTCAGCTGCAGCACCGTCTGCTTCATGTGGTGGAACTCTTTGCAGGAGGCACAGCACGTCTGGGTCTGCGCTGCATTCTCCGCTTGCTCGTTGGGCCCTGCAAAGGGAGGTGCCTCAGCAAGGGCGGGGCATGGGTCACGCGGGTGATCTGGGGTAGGGTGGGGGTGGGGCAGGGGGCATGTGCCATCCCGAGTCACTCGAGTCACTCTGACTCGGGCACGCTGCGCTGAGGGAGGAAGGAGGAGGAGGGGCTGCCCCAATGGGACACTGCCCGCCCAGCGCTTCCTCTCTCAGGAGTGCATGTGGCACATGGTTAAAGTGCTTGACTGCTAACCACAAGGTCGCTGGTTTGAACTCAGGTACAGCTTTCTGGCAGACATGCAGGGAAGCCTCTGCCCCTAAGACTGACAGCCTAGGAAAGCCCACGGGGGCAGTTCTCCTGTGTCTGACAGGGGGCTATGAGCTGGGATGGATCCACCAGCGGGGGGTTTGGTTCCTCCCGTGGTCTCCCCAACACTCCACTGTGACATGGAGAAGTGCCTGGGGCTCTGTCTCAGTCCTTCCCAGGAGACAGGTCCCCCCAAAATCAGACTGGGTTAATGCTCCCCTCCAAGGCCCTGGTGGTGCTGTGGGTTAAGCATTGGTCAGATGAAGCACTGGAAAGGCCAGTAGTTTGAGCCCATTGGCCACTAGCTCTAAGGAAACTCTGGTGGCTTACTGGGCAGGGGGTTGTGCTGGGAACTGGAAGGTGCACAGTTCAAATCTATTAGCTGCTCCAAGGAGAAAGATGAGCAGTCTCCTCTTGCGGGACTTACAGCCTCTGGAAACTCGATGGAGGGTCAGCTATGCCTCATTTCCAACTCAACGGCACACAACAATGATCTAAGGAGAGGAGTGAGGAGTCAAGTGAATAACACACGGTGCTGCTGTATATCGTAGTCAGGACTGACCCACAGCTGACTCTCCGGTGGGTTGCCAGAGGCAATGAATTGCACAGAAGGAGATTGCCCATCCTTCTCTCACAGAGCAGGCGGTGGCCTCGAACCACGTGCCTTTAGGATTGCAGTGCAGCTTTTTGCCACTAGGCCACCGGAAGGAGCCCCGGGGACACAGTGGTTAGAGCTTGGCTGCTAAATGAAGTGTTGGCGGTTGGTTAGAATCCTCCAGATATTCTGCAGAGGAAAGACATTTGCTCCTAGGAAGATTAAAACCAAACAAAACCCCAAAGCTGCTGCTCTTGGTCCCACCCCACAGCATCCCCACTGGGTGGAGCAGATGCCCAGCAGGTCCCCAAGGCTGTGAGCTTTACAAGAGCAGCTGGATAACTCTGACCTGCACAGGTTTTGGATAGTCGTCAAGCACTTAACCACGGCACCACCAGGATGACTCTTTCATGGCAGAGACTCATAGCTGTGACTGTGTGCACTGGGTTTAACCACCATGGGATCTCTCTACAGCCCAATGTGGGTCCAACCATCGTGGTATGCCATGTTTTTGATGTTGCTGTATGTCACTGAGTTGGAACCGACCCGCAGCTGACCCTCCAGCAGGTTTTCAGAGCAAACAACACGGGAAGAGACTGCCTGTCTTTCTCCAGTGGAGGACCTAGTGGATTCTGACAGTGTGCCCTTGGGATTGCAGCATAGCTTCTTACACCAGGCCATCAGAACTCAACTTCCCATGCTACAGTGTTGTTATGTGCCATCGAGACACAAGCCTGTGAACAATGGGTCTGAACCTTGCCCTAGTTCTGAGGCAATCTCTGTCCCAGTGCCACAGTGACTGCATCAATCCATTTCATCCAGGGTCGTCTTCTCCTGTATGGACCCTCTAACCTTCCAAACCTGATGTCCTTCTCCAAGGACTGGTCCCTCCTGGCAACATGCCCAAAGTATGTGAGATGAGAGTTTCAAAATCCTTGTCTCCAAGAAACAACCTCATTTTACCCTCTCCAGGACAGACCTGTTTGTTCTCTTGGTAGCCTCATGGTATATTAAATACTCTTCTCCACAACTTAAAGGCATCTATTCTTCTTCTGTTATCCTTGGTCATTATCTAGTTCTCAGATGCATAACAAGCACCTGAGAAGTTCACGGCCTGGATCAGGATCTAGATTATCCCTGTTGCTCTTCAGCACTCTGAAGAGGTCCTTGGCAGCAGACTTTCTGAAAGCAACTCATCTTTTAATTTCCTGACCTGCTGATGCCAAGAGTGTTGACTGTGGATCTGAACAAGCTAAAATGGTTAATAACCTCATTTTTTCCCCTCCATCTATCACAATGCTGTCAGTTGGCCCAGTGGTAAGAATCTTTTTCTTGATGTTGAGATGCAATCCATATTGAAGACTGTAGTCCTTGACTTTCTGCAGCTAACACTTCAAGTCCTCCTCAATTTCAGTGAGCAAGGTTGTGTCATTTGCATAGCACAGGTTATTGATGAGTTTTCCACCAATCCTGATGTCACTTTCTTTTTTCATGAAGTCCAGCTTCCCAAATGATCTGTTCCACACAGAAATTGAAAAGGTATGGAGAAAGGATGCATTCCTGACACATTTCTTTCCTGAGTTTGAAACATGAAGTGTTCCTTTGCTCCATTCATACAACAGCTTCCTGGTCTAGGTATAAGTTTCTCATGAGTACAACCAAGTGCCCTGGGATGCCCATTCTCCTCAATGTTAGTCACAATCTGTTGTGACCCACACAGTTTTTTTATCCATACATAACCTTGAACAGTTGATAAAATACAAACAGACATCCTTCTTGGCTGCTTTCAACTAGAACCCATCTGACATGGGTGATGTTATCCCTGTGCCATGGCCTCTTCTAAACCCAGCTTGTATTTCTGGATGTTCTCTATTGATTTCATTTTTGGATAATCTTCAGCAAGATTTTGCTTGCATACGATATTAATAATATTTTTCAATAGTTTCCACACTCTTTTGTGTCATATTTTCTGGGAATGGGAGTAAGTATGGATCTAGGTATACCTATATTAATTTAGAAATCAGGATAGATATTCCTGATTTTATGTTTTCTGGCCTTCAGTTAATGGTAAGAAGCTGTGCTGCAATTCCAAAGGCACGTGGTCTGAATCCACCACAGGAGAAGGAGGGGCAATCTCCTTCTGTGTAATTTACTGCCTCTGAAAGCCCACAGCTATGTGTCGGTTCCGACTCAATGGCAAAAACCCCAACTTGTTTTTTTGGAGCATTTTGATCCAATCCGTACAGATTTCCAAAGTGCAATATTATGATTAACCACCAGGGGGCATGGGGCTCTAATTTTACTGACCCCCACGGGCTGTAAATTGTTTAAAAATTAGGAATATGACTTCTGTGATATGAGTGATATAAAATACATCCTAAAAACCTAGAGACTATCTACCCCCAGCATGTTTCACACGGGCACTGTTACATATATAGAGACTGTGTTTGATTTTAGAAATTGATTGCAGACCTGATCTCTGCTTCTTGACCCTGCTTACAGTCATTTGGGGATCATTTAGTGAGTCTCCAGGTAGTCTAAACACTTAGGCACTCAGCTTTTAACCAAACAGTTGGCAGTTCGAACCCACCTCCTCCCTGAGATGCCTTGGGAGAAAAGCCTGGTGACCTGTTTCAGAAGGTTTACAACCATGAAAACCCCACAAATCACAGTTTTGCTTGATTTGGTATCATGGCAATATGCTTGGGGGCGGAGGACTGCTAACCTTTTGTGGACTACAGGATTAGTGGGAAACTGGAATCCCACTTCCGGTTTGCACTGCCATCTGCTGGGGACGGGGGTTGTTGTTAGGTGACATTGAGTCAACTGCAACTCACAGCAACCCTATGAAAAGCAGATCAAAACACTGATCTGTCCTGTGCCCTTCACATGGTCCCTTCAGTGCTCAACCTCATCGCTGCAGTCATGGTGCCAGTCCTATTCCTTTAGAGTTTTCCTCTCTCTCACTGACCCTCTATGTTCCCCGCCATGCTGTCTTTTCCATGGACTGATCCCTCCTGATACATGTTCCATGTATGGACAGATTCTCTCCATCCTCGCCTGTAACAAGCACCCTGATTGAACTTCCTCCAGGACAGATTTGTTCATTCCTCTGACAGGCCACGGTATGTTCAACTCTTGGCCAACATCTCAATTCAAAGGTCTTCTCTATTTACTGCTCAACTTCCACATGTAAATGAGGCATCATGGCTTGGATCAGCCATACCTAAGACTTTAAACTCACATCTTTGCTCTTTAGGGCTATAGAGAGGTCCTTGACAGAGGATTTTCCCAAGGCAACACAACTTATGATTTCTTTACTGCTGGTACCAAGGGTGTTGATGGTGGGTCCAAGTCAAATTAAACTGTTGATAATTTTAATCTTTTCTCTGGATGTCTTGATGTTGCATATTGGTCCAGTTGTGAAACAGAAGGGAATATTTGTCTTAGTGATTGTACAAGGAATCCTGTGTAACTTCAAAAATGCATACATATGGGCCTCATGCCAACTACTCCAGCTCCAGAGGCCACTGATTGTCTCAAAGTTCTTATTCTGCCAAAAAAAATCATTTTATTCAAGATACGTTCCATTAGTAAAAACATGCGACAAAACCTTCCAAGCAGAAAATTGTTCGGTCTTAAAAGAGTTAAACAGCCTGGTGGTGATTTCAACTGGCATAATTTGGTGTTTGCATTCCAGCCGGTCCCAAGGTTGAGCTCCACTGATCCTGGAGCTTGAGGTGCTTGAAGGTGACATGAAACACCTGTCCTTCAGCACTGTGACCTCTACTGAGTCATGCTGGAGGTCCTGGCCACTTTATCACGAAATCAGCAAAGGCTGAAAAATAGAGACTGGCCAGCTTCAGAGCCGGCATTGCCTTAACTCGTCTCTCCATCAGCCTGCAGACTCCCTGGGGTGCAGCACTGGCTCCAGTTTCACGCTTTCAAGGAGTAAATCAAAGTGCCTGAACACGCTCCTCTCTCTCACCTCTTAGCCAGACAGCTGAGGTCACTGAGCCCGAGTGTGGACGGCAGCCTTCCTGCCGCTGGGCGGTACTGGGGCCAGGAGCCTGCTGCGTCCTGCATGGCCCTGGGTGGACTGTAGCTGGGTCCGATTTTTACAGTCCCTCGACTGTGACATTGCAGACGCTGGACAATGCAAAGCACAATACACACAGAAAGAGGGCGAGGCAGGCATGGCTTGCATGTGGTTATGCTCACTAATCATTAGATTTTCATTTTGAAAAAGGACCTCGGTCAAACAGCAGTCTTTTGATTAGTCCAGGGCAGACGGAAGCACTTAGCTGCCTCTGATGCTCTGAAGGCGGCTGAGCCCTAACTTTACCTGCTCCGGAGATGAACGTTAGGGTGACCTTGTTATGCATCTTTTTGCTATTGTACACTCTACTTATACATGTAGGAGCTAAGGGTGATGCTTGGCCCTCACCTGGATGAAGGATGAAGAGAGGAGACTGCCCCATGGGGCTGGGCGGGGACTTGGGGTGCTTCTGTGCAAACAGGCCAATTCTCTAAAAAGCCTGGAGAGGACGAAGGGGTCCTGCCAAGTCTATCCAGTCCAAGCCTCTTGTCCACAGATGAGGAAACTGAGGCTGGCCAACACAGCAGGCTCCGGTGACCAGCTCGTCTTTCCAAGTCAAGGCCACTTCCGAGGCGGCTCAGCTGTCAGGCGACACTTGCTTTTTCCATAAGAGCCATCCAAGCCGGCCACACTTCGCAGTGACGTCATCACTCCAGCTACCCACCTGTAACATTCCCTGCCTACAAAATGCCTGCCTTTCCTTGTATTTGTAATAAGGAATGTGAATTATTATGACGTGCCATCAGGTTGGTCCCGACCCTCCAGGAGGTTTTGTTTTCAGAGGCTGTAAATAAGTAAATAGCACAGGAGGAGTCTGTCCATCCTTCTCCCTCAGAGCAACTGGTGGATTTGAAACACATGCGTCTGGGTTGACAGTGCACCTCCCTACCACTCCCAGTCCCTAACAGTGAAAAGCCTTCACTCTTGGTGGTGTAATATGTCTCTGTGTAAAATCCAAATGCTAATCCTCTGCAAGCCGCCTTCTCCTCCTTACTCATTCTTTTCTTAAAAATAAATGTTTTAATTTTAATTGCCATTTTAACGAAAGTTTACAGAAAAGTTAGATTTTCATTCATTCATTGTTGCACACTTTACCCCCTCTCTTCCTTCCCTCTCCTCAAGCTGACTTTTTTCACTAGTTTATTTACAAAATTCTAATACAAATTCAAACAAATTATTTTAATTTACTTCACCACCCCCATCAAATTGTACAACCCAATGATTAATCCCCTCGTCCCCCTGCACATCCACATCCCTCTGCTTCCAGCCTCTCCCACCCCTCCTGGATCCTTATACTCGTTCTACAATAATGGTCTTAAACAATATTTATCCTTATGGGACTGAGTTAGTTCACTCAGCATAATGCTCTCCAGTCCCTTCCAAGTTAGGTAATAATTTACAAAGTTATTACTCCTTCATCCTTACTCATTTTTAAACCAGCCCACACATGAGTCCATCAGTGTCCAAGGTTCTTCTTGTCCATCAACCAGAACCGTCCTTTCAATCAAGAGCAGAGTCTAAGAGGGGAGGTTTCACAGCCCTGTCCATCCCCACCTCTCCTGCCATGGCATAAAACACAGGGACTTTAATTTTGAATTAAAAACCAATGTGAATTAAAACAATATTCATTTTTCTTACTCATCCCTCATGCCAAGAAGATGAGACACTCTCAGCCCAGCCCTTAGGGGCAGATGACAAGGCCTTCAGCCTTCAAACGTGTCACCAGGAACACCAAATTGGGCTGCCCCGGGCTGCCCTGGCTCCAGGCGGGCATGTTGCATCTATTTCTAATAAGTATCACGTCCCTCGTGACTCAGCCAGTTGGCCTCAGAATTTCGCTTTGTACTTTTCCCGTGGTCGGCAGCTGGTCCCCAGCTGTCTGTGGTCCTGGGCGGATGGTGACTGCTCCCTGCTCCATGCTGAACCTCAGCCCAGGCTCAAGCATGAGTCGAGTATCAGCAGTTCTGGCCTTTCCATCCCCTTGGCATTTCTCAACACCCAGACCTGTGCCCTAGGAGCCCCCTCTGCACCCTCAAAATCCCTCCCACCCAGGATGGCCTGGCCGGCTCACCTCTCCTGACTGTCCCTGTCACATCTCTTCCTGAGGGAGGCCCAGGAGAGCTGAGTCTGAGGGCTGGGCTAGTGCAGATGACACCTGTCTGGCTCAGACGGTGACCCAGGAGCACCAAGGTGCCATGGGACCAGCCAGGGGCTATCCGTCTAATTGAGGGCCACTCTGGTGCTCATTTTCCTGAGAGGCCTTGAGGTCCACCAGTGCCTGCTGCTCTAGTTGGCAAACTGACTGCTGTTTTCAGTGCTGTCCAGCTGACGATGACTCCCAGCAACTCTATGAATGAGAGATGGAACCTTGTCCTATCCTGTATCATCTTCACAGTCTCCACCGAGTTCAAGTCCACTGTTGTAGTCACTGTGCCAATCCATCTTGTCAAAGGTCGTACTCTCTTCCTCTGAACCTCCACCTTTCCAAGCCTTTCCAAGTCTTTGACCCTTTAAGTTTTTTTTCCAAAGACTTGTCCCTCTTGACAACATATCCAAGTATGTGAGACGGCGTTGTGCCATCTTTGCCTCTCAGGAGCACTCTGGTTACACTTTCTCCAAGACAGACTGGTTTCTCTTTTCAGTACTTCCTGATACATATTCCACACTCTTCACCAACACCCCAGTTAAAAGGTATTCATTCTTCTTCAGACTTCCTTACTTACCGTCCAACTTTTACATGAATAAAAAGCTATTGAAAACACCACGGTTTGGGTCAGGCACAATTGAGTCTTTAAACTGAGACTTGAAGTGTGTGTCTTACTGACTGGGTCACCGCCCCAGCTTGGCAGGGGCCCGCCTTGTTCTTGCTTGTGGGTCTGTCAGTCTCTGTCAGCAGAGTCGATTTTTCTCCATTGCTTTTCCTTGCAGACTGGTCCGTTACTCCGGCCTGTGCACTGAGAGCCCTGGGGAGTGTGGGGGATAGTGGCTGGGGAGACCCCTGAAACCTGACAGCTCCTCAGGTTGCTTCAAAGGTGTGTCAGGTGCTCTTTTCCCTGCCAAGTCACCCCACCTCCATTCCCTGAAACATCTGACACAAGATTTCTGGCTTTCTTTTCTCCCCCAAATTCCAGCTCTCTGGTCAAACATGTCTCTCCATTGCAGGCAAATCCAGCTGATAGAGAATAAATCAGTTTCTCAAATGCTCCATGAAGAAAGGCCAGTTTTAAAATGCTTTCTCTAATTCATTGTAGACCACTATTTTTGCAAAATACAATAAAAATGAATTACTAGAGAAAGAAAAAAAAGCCATAAAATGCAAGCATGAGTGTCTGGTTATAGACAACACTGCTCTGGCAAACTGATGTAGAAGTTTCAAGAAACTCTTCAACTTCTGTGTTTCGCCAATTGTGAACCATATGACAAACAGCTTGCGGTCGGGTGCAGGCCCGTGGGCGGACGGTGGGCAGCCAAACGTGGATGGATCCAATGCCTCGTATTTACATTTCAGCCCCATGCTTACATTTCTCTGGGAGAACACAGCGTCTCTGGTCTGCTGTCTGCACATCCTAGTTTGGTCTGAAGCTTATAACTAAACCTGACTGATTTACACAGCAGTACACCACCCCAGCTTGGCAGAATGTCTCCCCAGCACACACTGTCTTAGTTATTTAGCGCTCCTGTAGCAGAAATACCACAAGTGGGTGGCTTGGACAAGTAGAAATGGATTTCCTTGTGGTCTAAAGGTTAGAAGACTTCACTCAGAGCTCTGGCTCTGGGGAAAGAAGGCCCTTTCTCTACTGGTTATGGAGAAGGCACTGCTTGCTCTCAATATTCATGGGCTTAGCATCCCTTGGTGATCTCCATGAATCTAGACATCAATCTTTCTATGAGTGTAGGAGGTTCCCAGCACAAGGGCCCCAGATCCAAAGAAAACACTTTGCTCCAGCTCCTTTTTCCTAGTGGTGCTGAGGTCCCCTCTCTGCTCTCTGCTTGCTCTTCTCTCCTTTTATCTCTTATGAGATATCAGATATTACAGGCTACACCCTAGAGAAAATTCTTTTACGTAGTTTCACCTCCTCTAGAAGGGATTGGTCAATCTTCCTATAAGTGATGGGTTTATTAGATCACAGGAGATCATTACATAACCATCACACTGCACCATGACGTTCAAAACACTGAGAATCATGACCCAGCCAAGTAAACACATATTTTGGAGGACACAGAGCACTCCATGACAGAACGCCACAAACAACCCTTGCCATTCAGGGCTACCACTCTGTCTCCATAGAAAGCTTTTGAGTCTATGCTCTACTTTTCTCTCACCCAGGCAGGTCCTACCTTCTGTTTGTAGAAATGCCCATCTTCCTGTCACTTGCTGGGCTCCTAGGTGCTAGGGGCTCTGGGGACAATGTTGGCCACTTACCTGTGTCATTAGGGTATCTGTCCCCTTTGGTGCACGTCCGCCCGTCGTCCTCCCGGACGTAGCCCTCACGGCATTCACAGCGGTAGCTGCCCGGGGTGTTGACACAGATGTGTGCACAGAGTGTCTTGTTGCTGGTGGCGCACTCATCGATATCTGGGTTTGAACAAATGCAGACAATCCATAGACAACTTCAGAGACCTCACTCCCCCCCTTTCACCCACCATGACATTAGGCTTGTCCCTGTGGCCCACTGTCTACAAAGGACTCTTTGTCTGACCCTATCTGAAAAGCCAGGGAGCTTTGGTGAGCTAATGGTAAGAGGCTGAGCTGCAATTCCAAAGGCATGCGGTTCGAATTCACCAGCTGCAGAGGAAGATGGGCAATCTCCACCCAGGCAATTTACTGCCTTGGTTCCAACTCAGGGCACACAACAACAGCAAACTTGAGAAGCATGTGTATAGTAGGAAGCAAGTAGCTTTAAGTCTTCAAGGAAATAGCACCACAGGTGGATTCCGCCCTGGTTACAAGCTGACGGAGGTGGGGGTTCAACTATGGCTTTACTATTAAAGTCCCAGGGCCTGGTATATAAAACCATAAAGAGGGAGTCGGCCTGAAATCCTTCCCAGAGCCACTCAGATGAGCAAGTGAGACGGATGCTGACACACTCCAACAAGTAAACACTGTAAAAGTGAGGTTTTTTGCAACTAGCCTGGTGTGCTCAGTGTTTTCATGTTCCAAGCCCCACAACCCTGGGGCACTTAGGAAAGGCTCCACCCTTGTTATGAGACATGGCTGTACCTGGGAAAAGCCACTGTGAATAAAAGCAAATAGTCATTATGGGTCTAAAGGAGAGGATTTCCCCCAGGACATTTCTGCCTCACCAATGACCCCAACAAACCCCTCGGAATGGGGGAAATGAACCATGAGACCATCAAACAAGTAGCCGCTAGAAGTCCGTGTGATCCGTGCTTACTGCAGACTTGCTCCACTGCTGAAGGGGTGGAAAGGAGGGCTTCCCACCAGGGAATCTTTGTTCCCATGTCAGGTCCACTGGCTGAAGACATCAGGTGACATGGAGGGAAACAGGCCCTGCAGTCCCAGAGTGTGCACACATGGTGAGTACAGAGCCCGATCCTCAAGTTGGGGGTGCCAATGATCTCCTAGCCACTCCCTGGACCAGCTGCTGACTGACCTCAGGCTGCTGTGTGTACCTGGGGAACGAGGCCATTTGCAGGCTCCCCGGCAGGAAGTAGCGGGCCTTCCACAGACCTAGAAGTCAGGGTAGGGCTTTCCTGGGCAAGATCTTCATCCTTCTTGCTTTCTTGCTTGTCTTCAGGTCCCTAAACCCTCAGCATAAAGCTGCCTGTGTTCAGAGAGCAATGCGGAATGGTTGATGTGGATGTAGGTGGAATCTTCGGCAGCACAGCGGTTCTACGGATCCCCAAGCCTCCAGATGAAAAGAACAGGTAACTTATGAGCCTGGTGCATGGGCCTGAGCGTGATGGAGCTTACGCACCAAGCTCTTGGTAGCTGGGGCTTTGGGTCTCTTGCTTCGTTCCCTTGGTGGTCTCAACCTCTTTTTTTCCATGAATGTGGGCACCATCTCTGGTGCCATAGGGGCAAAAGTCAGGGCCTCCCTGGCTAGAACTGCTCTGAGATGGACGGTCCAACGTCCATGCTGAGGCAGGGAGGGAGGAGCTGCTGGCCACAGCAAGTCATTTCCCTCCTGAGCCTCCCTGCTGTCTAATCCGTCCCTCCTTCAGTTGTCCTTCAAACCTGACTGTGCCTGGCAGTATCAGGGGCACTTGTGCAAACGCAGATTCTGGGCCCACCCTCCGAGCTGTGATGTACTAGGTCTGGAGGGGAAGACAGAGGTCTTTTTTTCTTTTTTCTCATAGCAATAACCCCAGATGTTTCTGAGATAGGTTAACCACGGATGACTGCACTCAGCAGCACAGGGCTCCTGGGAACAATTTAGCCCTGAACTTGCTTTTTTGCAAACAGGCCTCAGAAAGTCCAGGCATCCTTGTCAGTGAGGGGGGAAGGGAAACAGCTGGTGGCGACTGAGGGTGCTGACTTCTCAGCTGCAGCCCAGGTGGCGGCCTCAGCGCCCTTTGACCCACTTCTCACGCGGCTGCCATATGCACACGCCCTTCTCAGCGTCTTTCCCCGGTCTTCTAGAAGAACACGTTTTCTCCTTTAGTTTCTTCTGCATTTTTTCTTTGATGACCATTTGCAGGCTGTTTCACATTATTCTGGTTTACCCTGGTTAATATTCCCTCTTCTGCTGTTATAGTTCCCTGCCAATCAGGATCTGAGTTGTACCAATTAGAAAGAAGTCCCTGGAAATACATATCTATCCATCGACAAGTGCATATTTCCATGTTTTCTGATACATCTAAATTATTAAAATAATTAATA